CTTCAACAACCTTTTGAATATCAAGAGACCCAAGGCATAGCATTAACATCACACAATTTGTATCACTACCCTGATATAGAGAATACTCTGGAAACATACTGACACAGGAACAATCTGATAGCTTGTAGACTATAGGACATGTTGATTATAGGACATGACTATAGGACATGGCATATACTCAAGTCTAACCAGCATTTCTCACTGACTTGTATCACTGTCCATCTGCCTTAATGATATTTCTTCCTTAAATATGATCATTTTTCTTAAATATTTCTCCTTAGGGATGAATACTTATTTAACTGTGTTCCTAATCAACTATTATTACAGTTTAATCTTAATCTTCTGTATGGTCTCAGTTTGAGATTTCTGATCATGGTATCCCAAGTTTCAGCTCATAATTACAAATATTCTCTCTCTCTCTCTCTCTCTCTCTCTCTCTCTCTCTCTCTCTCTCTCTCTCTCTCTCTGTGTGTGTGTGTGTGTGTGTGTGTGTGTGTGTGTGTTATCTGTGATCTGTTTTTATCATTTTACTCTTTATTTTCAATGGCTTTCATGCCCTAACTCAAGGACTTTGCCCTTATCCAAGACCATCAGAACAGCTTCCTTATGGTACAGTCCTACTGTTTTCATACTCTTAAAAATGACTCTACATTGAAGGCACAGATTTTACCAAGTACAGCTAATATCCATTTATAAGTACATACCATGTATGTATGTAAGGATAACCATGCTACAATCCACAGACCCAAAGAAACTAAGTAACAAGGAAGGTTCAAGGGAGGATGCTTAGTCTCACTGAGAAGGGGAACTGAAACAGACATTGGGGGTGAAGAGAGGGAGGGAACTGAGTAGGGAGGGGAGGGAAACAGAAGAGATCAAGTGTGGGGAGGATAGAGGGAGAGAGAACTGGAAGGGGGACGTGCACTTCTGAGATGAGCTAGAAACCTAGGACAATGGAAACTCTCCGGAATCTACGAGAGTGACCCTAGCAATAGGAGATAAGAAACTTGAAGCACCCACCTCTGGTAACTATGCAAGACTTCTAATAGAGGGATATGGACAACAACCTAGCCACCAAACTTTAGACCCGCAAGTAGTTGTCCTGTCTACAAAATGTGCATGGATAGAGCTGGAGCAGAAATCAGATCCATGCCATGAGAAGGACCCCACTAGACACTATTAATGATATCCTGTCATACCTGCAGACAGGAGCCTAGCATAACTGATATGTCAGCAGCTTCACCTAGGAACTGATGGAAACTGATGCAGAGACCCACAGTCAAACATTAGGTGGAGCTCAGAAAATCTTGTGGAAGAGGGGGAAGAAGGATTAAGGGAGCCAAAGAGGTCAAAGACATATCAAGAAAACCTACAAAATCAACTAACCTGGATCCATAGGGACTGATAGAGACTGAACCAGCCACTAGAGAGCATGCATAAAATGGAACTAGGCCCTTTACAAATATGGAACAAATGTGCAGCTTGGTCTTCACATGGTATCCCTAACAGCAGGAGCAGAGGCTGTCTCTGACTCTGTGGCCTGCTTGCGGATCCTTTACCATTCACTGGGCTGCCTTGTCTAGCCTCAATAGGAGAAGATCTGCCTAGTCCTACATCAACTTGGGAGGCCAAGGGGGTTGATGTCCATGAGAGGCCTCCCCTTCTCTGAGGAGAAAGGGAGAGGGATGAAGGGAGGGGAGGGGGAGGACTGGGAGGAGAGAAGGGAGGGAAAACTGTGATTGGATGTAAAGTAAATAAATAAATACATTTTAAACAGACATGAGCAGAAGCATCTGAAGTAGTAGTCCTTCTTGACTGCCAACTTAACTGGAGTCAGTGGCCTAGGTGGCCTGGGTGCCACATCTGTGTGCATGTTTGTAAATTATTTCTACAGAGCTTTAACTAAAGTTCGAGATCCATTCTGAATTTGAGCAACACCATCCCAGGAGAAAAGGTGACCTGTTGGTCAAAAGTACAGAACCTCAGTCCTGTAACATACAGAAGGTCTGGAGAGGCACTGTAGGACATAGGACACAGAGCATTTAACTAATGATACTGTGTTTCATACTTAAACTGCCCAAGAGGACACTTACACTAAGTACTCTTAGTGTGGTGCAGGAAAGAAAGAAGGAACCTTGTAGGGAATGAGCATGCATGGCATTGCCTGTGCGGACACTATACAAAGGGACACACTCATCAATAGCTGTTTGCAGGTCAGTACTGATAGAACATAGTGTTTTAGCACACATAATGGCTCAAAAGTATGTTTATTCAGGTTATAGAATTTCTTTTACAGCACGCAAACACAAAGGTATCTTTCATGAGAAACAGTAAATGCCTAATGTGGTAGAAAATACATCTACATATTAAAATTCATATTTCATTTTGCCAAAAAATTTTATTGCCCATTTTAATGAGAAGTAAAAACTTACCAAAAAGCGAAAATAGTTTTAAAGAACTCTCCTGAATATAAAATTAATAGTCACTACAGATATGTAAATCAGACAAATTATGTAACAAAATCCAAAGTGATACGTGACCCAAATATAAAAAGATAATTAACATTTTAGTTAGGGGGCTATACTCATTATTTACCTTCTTAAGCTTTTATCATTTCATTTTTTTAAAAACAGAGTCATTTCATTTGAATCATGTAGATAAAAGCTAATAAAAAATGAGGCAGTTTTTCACCTGACAATTTACAAATATAAGTAAGTTTATTCTAAAGTCATTAACAAATTTGTTTAGTTTAAAGAATTTAGCCATTGGGAAAAAAATGTAATTCAGAATGCTTCCTTGGGAACCACCATAAAAACCATCAGGAAACATCCGCCATCAGATGGAAATGATCACATAACAGGCGCTAAAACCGTGACATGTAGAACATTAGAGGTCACTCTGCCTCCCTCTCCCCTCTCTTCTCCCACGTCTTTCAAACCCCTTGCATGCATGAGATATCAACTATACAGATCTATCTCAGAAACTGTACCATTCAAGAATCAGGGAATACTCATGATCGTTTCTGTAAGTGAGTTTACAGAGAGTGTATGAGTTTCTAACCACATAGCAGCTGTAACCCGACACGAGGAAGTCCCTGTGAGTGAAGCAGAGCAATCGGAAGCAGCTGTGAGGATAGAGGTGCATGCTTATCTACCTGTGTGTGTAAAACGAGGCTCTGAATGAGTTCAGTGTTCCCCATAAAGTCCCAAGGTCAACCGTAGGGTGGCTCTTACCACACTATGGAATTAGCTTCTTGTTTTAAACATTTATTTGTGTGTGCATGCGTGTATGCATATGTGCATGCCATGTATGTACAAGTGTCAGGGGTTATCATATACCCTGGAACAGTTGTGAGATATCACAAAATTAATTAATTGATTAGTTAATTAATTAGTTAATTAATTTTTTAAAAGGTGCTGGAACCACACTCAGAAGCTGGCATCTGGGAAACCATCGGTTCCTCTCGGTGACTGAGCAATCTCTCTGGCCCCAATTAGTTTCTTAAGCTGTCCATGGAGATATTAAAACTTCTATGATAGAGCTCTCTCTAGTGCTTCCCAATGTAAAAAATCAGCAGGCATGTTTATAACTTAATGGTAACACATGTCTTTAGTGTAAGGCCAGGAGAGATGAAGACTCCAACTCGGCCCAGATGCCTTGGAATCTTCATGCTTGAGATTCTGTCTTACTTTCTCTCACTACTCATGTGCAAAAGAACAAAACAACACTGCTCAGGTAAACACTGTGTTTGGAGCCCTAAATATTTGCCTGTCTCTCCCTTTTCCTTTGTGTTCTCCTTGTCCCAGGTGCTGATGAGTACAACTGGTATCAGATAAAGTGATCACAGCAAGACATCCATCAGGGCATAGGCCCTGCCTCCTACCCAGGAACTTAACTTCCCACGGCTACATACCTTTCTGACACTACTTTAGGGCTTATGAGTTTTCTAGACAAGTCTCTTAGGTTTAACCTGATTTTTTTTCCCTTTAGAAGAACAAAATATGTTTCTCTTTTGAGACCTAGTTCCATTTTTAAAGATTTTTCTGCAGAATGATGCTTGCTTCTACCACCAAGCCATGTATCCCTCTGGTTAAGTACGTGTCACCAAGTATTTCTTTAGGCTCCAGACGTGGCTATTTTCAGAAGAAGAAGGCAGAATTTCCTCCATTCCAGGTTCAATCGATATTTCCTCTCTGGTCAGCTATACAAGGACCCTCATAGGACCATCTTACACTTTACTTTTTCCTGAAGAAATTTTACCTCAATGTAAGCTGATTTCTAAAGTGAAATTTGTATTTTATAAGGCATATTTAAGCAAGGGGGAGTCTACTGCCTTTAAGAATCTTTTTTAATAAATCGCATTTTTATTTTGCTTAGAATTTTTAGGTCGCTTCTTTAGTATTTCCTTTAATTCAAATAAATTTTATTTGAGGAACTGAATTCTGTAGAAGTGGTAAAAGGTATTCTTTATTTTTAAATCAGTGTTTTTTTAACTTCTGTGCAAGAGTATATTATTTACGTGGAGCTTAAAATGACTTTTTTAATATAAACTGTTTCATTACACACATTTGAAACCTCATGTGCTGAGAATGTAATTCAGTAGTAGAGAATTTGTCAACCTTGTGTGAGGCCCTGGGGTTGATCTCTAGTAACTCCTCCCACCCCTCCTCCAAAAAAAGAAAAGTGAATTCAGACAGACTACGATTACAAAATTGCATATATCTGAGTGCATGAGTCTCGATTTCCAAGCCACTGTGCTTAACGGTAAGCAGCTCTCATGGTGGGACTTATTCCCATTCTATACGCTACGTTTCAGCTAACATCAAGCACCCTTTTCTACTGCCGTTTGAATTAGCAGCCAACCATTTTTTAAGGTATACAGGTATAGCTCTTAAGTACCACAGAAAAAAAGTTAAATGGCCCAATATGTTTTTTAGTACAGTGGTTAGAAAACAAAACTTGGCAATGACACTTTGTTTTCAAAGTGCATGTTCTCTTACATAATCATGGAAGGCTTTTGCTTCGCTCGAGTGTTCACAGGTTTCTCGTCTCTCTGGAGCTGCACAGTAGAGATCCCAAAACACACTGAAAAGTAATTATGGAACATTAAGAAAATCATTACTATGACAGGACATGAAATCACAGTTCAACAAACATAAGGCATTTAACTCTTTGTGTAAACCCTTTCTTCTTCAGAACAGGTATTATTTCTCTGAAAGATTTAAGGTCAGGCAGATTCCTTAATGCCAAAATTATATTTTACCTAAATATTTTTTTCTAAACTATTCAGTATTCTCCTAAAAGGAAAAAGTAATATGGTTTTGTCTGGTCCTGAGGATCAAACCCTTATGAATAAGTTATTAGAAACCTTTGTTCTTATAACTGGCTGTTCACATGACTGACAATTAGCTGAACTAATGCTTCAGCCAACTCTCCCATGAAGAATAGAAGTACAAATGATGTCTGTTTGTAATTAATAACAAAAATGTCCTTCCTTTTTAGCACAGCATCTTATCGTCCAGTTCACAGGCCACCACCCTAACCAGCACATTCCATTACTCAAATGAAATTTTTAAATCTCCATTTTTCCTTCTTCAATTACCAAAATAGGTTAAAAATTTGAAACTAATCATCCAAATTCCTTTCCTGTAATAATTCAAAAATCATACTTAAAAAAGGCCCTGGTCATCTTTCCATCTATCATGTTATCTCTGAGCATGAGCAAGGAGTAAACATCACAGCTGGCAGATGTTCACAAGCTGCTTGTGACCACAGTTGATCAAGATGTGAAAGGTACACACTACCTCAGTCAGAACACAACTCTCAGAGCAGGGCAGACACTCTGCCCTGTGAGGATGCACTACGGATCAAACTGTAATCTGTGTGAGGGCACAGTAACCTTTGACACTTATTTAGCCTTTCTGGTTCTTTCTCTCCTCAACAAGAAAGAAACAGTAGGCCTGGCAACAAAGAGCATCAATTCAGTAGGACCCGTTCAAGAAGATAACTGCAAATAACTGAGCAGTGTTACCTTTCAGTGTCTTATGTATCATTCCTTTTCCACTAGGTAGAAAAAAAAATCTACTTAGAAAAAAAAAAAGATCTACTTTTCCTTCTTGTTAAAATACTACAGTAAGAGAGAAATACAAAGAAGATAATAAGGTCAAAAGTGAGTTCAATGTTTTGACAAGAATGAAGGCTGGATATGGCTTTCCCAGAGCCCAGCAGGATAAAGGAATGGAGTCCTAGACACTGAGGGTGCGCTAGACTCCACATGGAGGTGTGTGACGACTGCAGGATGCTGTGCTTACCCATTTTCAGCTTCCGAAGGAAATGTAAAGCCCTAAACGTGGCGTTGACTCAGCAGTGTCACAGGAGGCAATACACAGCGCCACGATGAGCAGCTTAGAATGTCCATCCTCCCAAAGATTCATTGCCTACAAGTGTCCTAAGATGTCTACCCAAAGTCATTCTGTAGCTATTATTTTATTTCTGTTTGTCTGTTTTCTGTATTTGCCATAACGTTCTAACCTCGACTGTGCTCAACGTAAGCAACGATGACCGTGAGCTCCACGCCTTCAGCTTCCGCCTTCCTTCTTTCGAGTGCTGAGCTACAGTCACATGCCACTGCACCTCTCTTGGCTATTACATTTAAAAGACCCGATTACACAGTTATTGTTCTCACTATGTCCTAAAGAATCTTTATTTACACACATGAATATTTCTTATAACAGTAACACTGTTTTACTTCTGTTTTGTCCGCTAACAAATTTAATGGGCAATCAAAAGTTTACAAGATCAGGTTTGCAGATAATAAATTAAGACATAAAAATAAGGTTATAGATGTTACTTTAGAGAATTATGTCTTCTCTAATAAAGATTAAAAAATGTATCACCTGAAAACACTTGTCTGCCCCACAGATTTTTTTTTTAACCATAGCTAGCCTTGCTCTAAGCCATCCTATAAATTCTTTCCATGGTATACTGGGTTGAATAGAAGATAACAAATCAGGAAGCCAGACAGTGAGTAGAGCTCCTCCACGGACTCAGTTCCGCCTGAGATCTTGCTCTCACCTTTCTGGTCTAGACTGATGGTAACCTAAAGAGTGCTCCAGATAAGCCTCTTCCCCTCTACGCTGGGGCTTTTGGTCAGGAGAGGAAAACTAGGAGATTCGCTTTCACAGTGTCTATGGAGTCAAAGTTATCCAGCCAAGAGAGGCCAGGAAAAAATGGGAGAAAATATATCAAAGAAAATCATAAAATGGGATGTTTTATTTTAGAAACTGCATTCATTTATTTTAGAAAGTGTATTTTATAATTAAGTCTATAATAATCTACGATATAATGAAATTTTTAAAAAATAAAATTAAAAGCCAAATAGGGAAAAAGTTCAACACTAGACTATGTTTTTAAAAGTCAGCATCGACTTTATAACTATGTTTGTTGAGCTCTAAATACAGACGGTAAAGATATTTCAAAACTTTATCATTTTTATAAGGCTCAGTTGTGCCAATAATATGGGACATATAGAACTCTGATTGTCACCTTAATGTCTGGTAACAAGTGACTCCATTAACAACCATAAAGCACCAAGAAAACCAAAGGACACCATTTTATTCCACTTTTAGCACAGATGCATGCTTGACTCAGGAATAGTAGACAAATTTCTTGACTTTTCTAGTCTTATAATTTAGAAAATAAGGACATTAAAGCCAGATACTCTGGGTTAAATCGTTCATGAGTTTAAAAAATGAATTTTTCACTACTTTTTGTTCTAGTAGTATTTAAACTCTTCTCTGGGTTATATCTACCACACACTGCACACCAAAACAAAAGGCCATCCATCGCACATAGCAGACTGAATGAATCTTTAAGCAGTGAGGAGTTGATCTGAAAATCATTTAACTGCTAAGCCCCCTAAAATATAAAAGTGGTATTTAATATATCATTAAAATTCATAAATACCCCCATAGGCTCATATAGTGACAGTGAACTTATCCCTCAGAGGGAGATTCACTGAGATTTAATTTGCCCTTCCTGAGCGGTTTTATTGTGAGCTGTTTGATGACCACTCAACCTGGTCCTCCTGGTTCTTGTGTCCCAGGAGCTCTAAGAGCAGGAGCCTCTAACTTCTGTGGAGACAGACTCCACAGACTGAGGTGCTGCAGGCTAAGGAGCTTAAAGCCAAATGTTGTCTTTGGTATACAGTGAACTCAACATGGCAGTTAATGCTTTAGATTTACACACTGTGTTTATCACTGAGACAGAAGTAGAAAATATGAATTCTATAAATGAAGATAGATGCAATATATAAACAGAAGCAAAATTACTGTGATAAAATATTTGGATATCGATTATTAGACTTAGTATTAGAATCTACCCAGTATAAATGAAAGAAAAAACAAAGCTAATGCCCAGATTTATGGTTCTCACCAAAATAGTTTTCACTTCTATCCTTAAAAACATGATTCAGGTGTGTTAGCTAGCTTTTATGGGAAGGCAACAGAGAAAACAAGATGGTTACCAAGAGCCCCAATTAGAGTCTGTAGATAATGGATTTCTTAAAAACAGATATTTGAAAAATTAAAAGATAAAAAAGAAAAAAATCGCTAGAGAAAAAATTTTTTGAGAAAAAAATAAAGCCATGTTGTAAGTTCAAGTATGAACAGCTAGGTGAGTCATTTCCCTTTGAGTCACTCAAAAATACATCTGAAATGTCCCACGTGTTAGCCGTTTACCCAGCTTGGCACTGTTTTGTAGAGAGCAGGAATGTGGAGACAACGTGGAGGGACTTTAAAAGACAGGGCTAGTAAGGGTATCTTCCGGTGTCCTTGAAGCGGAAAGTGAGATACCAGATCCTTCTTTTTCTCCTTCTTCTTTATCCAAACCATTAGGCCATGCTCCTGCTCCATCATGTGCTCCACCCTTGAGGAGCTGCTTTAGGTCCAAAGAAAAGAAGCCAGTAGGTGACAGACTCAAACCTGCAAAACTATAGGGCCAAGCCACTCTCCCGCCTTGTAAGCCGACTGTCCCGGGCACTTTTGTACAATCACAAAGCGTGTTAACTCACTCTCAGTTGAACAACGCTATTTAGTCACAAGACCAAGGGTACTTTACACAAAATAGGCACACTGAACTCTTCACCTTACGACTTTCCACATGCATTCTTACCAACAGTCATTAGTATTTCATAGTTTTCCGAGTATTAAATTTTATTCCATTTTATAAAATTCTTATGCTCCTAAATTAATGATAAATTCATATTTTAAAGTATAGTAGTTAGCACCCATTGAATCTGTGTTAAATTCAAACACCACAATCCTGCATTTCATCCTACTTATTACTTAAGACAAATTACATAATTTTCCTTAGACTATAAGGTGAGAGACCTGGGCTTAAACTTTTTAATTATTATATTACTTTGCTTCTGCAAATGTAGGTTCAGCAATGAGAGTTCAGGTTTCAAGTCTCCTAATTCTGATTAAGGACAGGTCTACACAGATCCAGCTGTGTGAGCACCATTTGTTATTATAAGAATGGCAGGGAAGACACCATGAGTAATTATCCTACCTCTATTCCTCTTACGATAATTTTGTTCCTGAGTATCCTATGATAACCACACCCTCACCTTCTCTGCAGCTACCAGTGGTCCAAGGATGCCTTAATGCAGATAAAACTCAAGAGAAAACATTCCTGAGTCCTTGCTTACACATTCAGTATGCAAAACTGCCCTTCTTGACAGGATATACAAAAGTATACCTCAAGTCTTAAAGAGCACTAAGACCGTGAATCAGCTCTATGGTAAAGAATGACTAACCCTGCTGTGTTTCCTGGAGAGCCCTTGGTGTGAATCCAGCTTTGCTCCTTTCTGCAGACCCTCTCAGCTCTCCCTTGTAGCCCATCTCATCCCTTTGTGTTAGCAGCAGATACCTTTCTATATGGGATCCCCAGTACCCACTCCAGGCTGGGACTCAGGTAGGTGATTACACTCTTTCCTGTCTTCCATTTCAATCAGTCCTGTTCACATCACCAGCCCTATAGCAGCCTGCTTGCAGGGGCCCCTCTACAAACCTCAATTTCATTTA